ATATATCGCCTTGCTTACAGTATCGCAATATATTGGGATATATCGTATCGTATCGCCAAATTCTTGCCAATACACAGCTCTACCCGCCATCAGTTATGGAGAAGCTTCTCCAACAATCACATTAGCTTACTAGTGCGCAAAGTGGGGCTGCCAGGAAAAGTGTTCAGGCAATAGCAATATTCAGAAAATTCACATCTTAACAAAAATTTAAAAAACGGTTTTCTGTATAAACCGGTATACCACCCAGCACTAATGTTTGGTGAGATTTTATTATCTTTTGTTCWCAACTTACCTGGATCTGACTTTCTTTATGACATCTAAAACATAGCGGGAAGGCTGCAAGAACAGGAATGACTTTGTTATCACATATTAATGTTTAATTCTATGTTGAAAATGCATGGTTTATCTGTAGTTGTTCCACTTACAGTAACATTTCCAAAGGCCACAAGGATGGGGTTGGGTTTTGGAGGAGGCAACTGAAAAAAATAAAATAAAATCAATTGGCTGTCTTAAATTACAACATCACAACCAAGCATAAAAATTCATCTAAAACTGAAACGAGGTAATAACTTTAAGAATTGTTTTTGTCAAAAAAAAGATTTTTGTTTTTCGCAGTCTATCTGCGGGACAGTTCAGTTTTATTAAACACCTCAAACCTGAGTCCTCACAGGGGAGGAGAACTGCAGCTTTAACCAAACGAATCCCTGAAATGTGTTTGTACCTCTTTCCCAGCGTTCTCACAGGCGTATTTGTGCTCTTCCATCTTTCTGCTTTCTTCTCTGTAAAGCTCTAGAGCCTCCATGATTCGCTCCGCCTACACACAGGTCACAGAAACATCAGCAAAGGTCAAATAAAACCTGAGGGGGTTCAGTAAGACCCCTGAAATTCAGAGATTATCTTCTTAAAACATCTGCAGATTGGGAGAAAAAAAACATCAAATTTTGAAGCCTCAGTCTCTTCTGCTGCTGGAGCCGTGTTATTTTTTTGTGTTTACAAAAGAAGTTACTGTGTTCTATTAGCGTTACAAAAGCATCTTCCACATTTCAGCAATTTTACAAAAATTATTGTAGGTTTTTGTTGACATACTCTATTAACTGCCTCAGTTTCAGATTTTTTTCTATTTATCTAAAATGAACAAGATTTTGTTTCTACCTAGTATTTCTTTATATAATCACCTACCCTTCTATAGTTAGCACAAAAAGTAATGAAATGTGTTTAAAGGGGACCTATTATGCAAAATTCACTTTTTAAAGTTTTTTTTTACTCAACTTTGGGT